AGGGTTAGGGCATATAGAGAGTGATGGGGAAAGAATTATTTTAGGCCGGGCGCGGTGGCTCACGCCTGTAATCCCAGCACTTTGGGAGGCCGAGGCGGGGAGATCACAAGGTCAGGAGATCGAGACCACGGTGAAACCCCGTCTCTACTAAAAATACAAAAAATGAGCCGGGCGCGGTGGCGGGCGCCTGTAGTACCAGCTACTTGGGAGGCTGGGGCAGGAGAATGGCCTGAACCCAGGAGGCGGAGCTTGCAGTGAGCCAGGATCGCGCCACTGCACTCCAGCTTGGGCCACAGAGCGAGACTCCATCTCAAAAAAAAAAAAAAAAAGAATTATTTTAAATAAGGTAGACAGAAATAAAGGCATACAATCCACATTTAGCTTTCCCAAAGTTATTTTAGATAAATGATCCAACATCTCAAACAGATATAAACATGTATAAACATTCTCTTACAGACATAAAATGAGAAAACACCTCAAAATGCTCAAATCTTGGTTTTCAAATTCATTGCCCTGGGGAAAAAAAAAGACTCCTTGGAGAAATGGCTGATTCTAGGTCTGAGGCAGGAAATGGACAAGAAGATCCTGAAATGTATTGTTACATTGGAAAACACAGGAGCACTCAAAGGCTAACAACAGTCATGCTCATCTTTAGTCTGTCACGCAGATAGATTACAAGGACTCCTGCTAGCAAAACTAGGGCATATTTAGGCATCAACAAGAATAATAACTGTAATTGATATTACATTGGATGAATAAAAATCTATGAGTTTAGGCTGGGTGTGGTGGCTCATATCTGTAATCCCAGCACTTTGGAAGGCTGAGGTGGGAAGATCATTTGAATACAGGGGTTCAAAGCTGCAGTGCGTATGATCCTGCCACTGCACTCCAGCCTGGGTGACAGAATGAGACCTCATCTAAAAAATGAAAGAATTCATGAGTTTCTGGTGATATTTAAGAAAAATGAAGGGCTAGGGTTCTGTTTTATCGAAGAATGACAATAGCAGGTATTATAGAATTAAAGAATAATCCTTTGGCAAACTATGAGGTAGTACTGATTCATATAAGGATCATCTTCTGTATTAATTTCTTGTTGCTTATGTAACAAACTACCACATTGTAGTGGCTTAAAACAACATAGATTTATTATTTGGCAGTTCTGGAGATCAAATGTCTAAAATGAGGCAGCGTGGCTGCGTTCCTTCTAGAGGCTCTGGGGAGAATGTTTCTTACCATTTCTAGCCTCTAAATGCTGTCCACATTCTGTGGCTGTCATGGCCCCGCATAGTTCTAACCTCTGCTTCCATCACTACGTGTTCTTCTCTCTGACTCCAACCCGCCTGCCTCCCTCTTATAAGGACATTTGTGATAACATTGGATCCACCCACATAATCCAGCATAACCTCCTCATCACAAAATCCTGAATTAAATCATACCTGCAAAGTCCTATTTTGCCAACCCCTGGAACACGTGAAGATGTGTTCCAGGGGTTAGTACGTGGGCATCTTGTGAGCAGAGTATTTACCAGGTATCAAAGTATCATCTCACAGATTACTTATTAATTATAAAGAGAAAAAAATGACTTTTACAACTAAGGGTTCTCATAATCACCACTCTAAACAATGGGACAATGAGAAATTAGGTACTGCCTGATATTATATAATATGAAGTCCAAAATCACTGATATATTCTTGCCAAAAATGTTTCACCTGAATCTAATCAACCCTTTCACCCTAACTTCCAGTTTACAGAAATGATGCCATAGAAAAACAAGCACATGCAAGATATGGGACATGCTGTATGTCCACCATTCTAGACTTCTCCAAATTGCAATGCCATAAACGAGCATGGGGGATATTCTAAATTTTGAAAAAAGGACTAAAGAGACTTAACCAAATGCAACGGGTAAACCTTGACTGGATCTTGAATTAAAAAGTCACTTTAAAGACAATTGGTGAAATTTTAAATTGAAATATTAGCTGATATTATGGAATTATTGCTAACGTACATGTGATTATATAGGATAGTGTCCTTATCCTTTGGAAATACATGTTGGAATATTTAGGGTTGAAATATTAATACATGATGTCTGAAACTTACTTTCAAATGCTTTCGATAAAAACATTTGGTCAAACACTATTCTAGATGTTTCTGCGAAAGTTTTTGATGAGATTAACATTTAAACCACTATACGAATGTTAAATCTCTCTATATAACATATGTCTCCATAGATATCTATGTTTCTCTCTCTCTCCATAGATATGAAATAGATAAATAATAAGTTTTGTTTCTCTGGGGAACTCTAATACAATACCCTTCTTTCAATTTTTCAGTATGTTTGAAATTTTTTCTAATGAAAAGTTAGGGAAAAAATTAAATTCAGATAATTTTTTAAAAACATTCAGGAGTTTTTAAAAACATTTTCCTGATCTAGTCAATGCTGACATTCAGGAGTTAAGTGCATTATTTTGTAGCTCATGGCTGTTCTTCTAGGAGAGAAAATTAGTCTTTATGGAAAATAGACTAGCCAACAAAAAATAAGCATCACCTGTCAGTTTGCAAATATTTTTGAGAATTTATTGTCTTAGTGGTTAATGCTCAGTCCTGGGAAAAGAATGGGAAGCCACCCAGAAGTAGTCCTTGCTAACTTCTTCCTGTGTCACTGTGTGTCCCATACTTGGCAAGCCAAGTTCATTTGGGTCAAAGTAGAACACATCTAACTAGTTCTTGATTTTAAGAGAATCTACAGGTTTTCTGATCAGGGAGCCTGTATTGATGATATAGCCACTTCAGTGAAAGCCAACAGTGACAGCTTCATATTTCAAAAGTCAGACAACTCCAGTGAACATGATATAAACTCTTTCCTTCCTCTGTAACCAACACAGAACACATTTAGAAAGCTTATTTAAAAACATGTCAAGTTCTCAGAGAGAATAGAAGAATGGTTACCAGAGGCTGGGAAGGGAAATGGAGGTGGGGTGGGGGAGTGGGGGTGGGGATGGTTAATGAGCACAAAAAAATAGTGGGAAAGAATTAATAAGACTTACTATTTGATAGCACAACAGGGTGACTATAGTCAATAATAACTGTACACTTTAAATAACAAAAAGCATATAATTGGATCGTTTGTAACACAAAGAATAAGTGCTTGAGGGGATGGGTACCCCATTCTCCATGATGTGATTATTACACATTGCATACTTGTTTCAAAACATCCCATGTATGTGTACCCCATAAATATATAAACCTACAATGTACCCACAAAAATTAAAAATAAAAAAATTTTAAAATAAGAAAATAAGTCAAGTTCTGCTTTGGCCATAATAAACATTTATCCTGATGCCTTAAACATTAGACAACTCAACAGATTACATGAAACTACTGTGCTCAAACATTGGACAGTAGGAAGCACAGTATTTTTATCTATGGAAGAAGAGAAACAAACAAGGCAGATCCTATGATAACCCAAATTTCTGTGTGGGGCACTTTCTAGACCACCCAGCTGGGGAAAAAAGTCCCCAGCAGAACATGGTAAACTTGATGAATTGAGGAGATGGACATGGAAGGCCATGGAGTCTGAAGAGGCCCGAGGTGTAAGGCAAATGTTCAGACAGGAGCAAGCTATGCAGAACAGAACTTCAGAAGTTTGTATAGTAATTTCCTAGAGTTTTTAGTGAACACTAAGCTATGAACACAAAGGGTGAGACCCTATAAAGTCAAGCAAAGAGTGACTAGAAGCTGTGAAGTGAACAGTTCCCAGACAGCCTGTAGTGCTGGGAATACATTTTGAGTTCCCTAAGCCAGCATGGAGAGTGCTGTCCTGTTTGATCACTCAGGGCATCCAGTAGAGACCCCATAAATTACTCCATACAAATGGGCTACACTCTCAGTAGAGTAAAAATTACTCTAGATAAACCCTGACAAAGCTTAACAATAGCCTCAAAAAAATCAACCTGAACCACAAATGACCTAATTGGCTATCTAAAAGAACACAGTTCAACATTCTTCTCAAGGGAAATAATACCCAATGATACCCAGATATTCAATGGCAGAAAATTCATAAATTCAGTGTCCAGTCAAAAATTACTAGACCAGGCCAGGCCTGGTGGCTCACACCTGTAATCCCAGCACTTTGGAGGCCGAGGCAGGAGGACTGCTCAAGTTCAAGAGTTCAAGACCAGTCTGGGCAAAATAGTGAGACCTCGTCCCTATTTATTTTATTTTTTTAAAATTACTAGACCAGCCAAAAGCAGGAAAATGTGGCCCATAACCAAAAGAAAAATCAGTTACTAGAAAGAGATTTTAAAGAGAGAGAAATAGTAAGATTCATGAAAGACAACTTTAAAACAACTGTTAGGCCAGGCAGAGTGACTCACGCCTGTAATCCCAGCACTTTGGGAGGCAGAGGCAGGCAGATCACTTTAGCTAGGAGTTTGAGGCCAGCCTGGGCAATATAACGAGACCCCATCTCTACAAAACCTACAACAATTAGCTGGACATGGTGGCATGCACCTCAGTCCCAGCTACTTGGGAGGCTGAGGTAGGAGGATCACTTGAGGCTGGAAAGCAGAGGTTGCAGTGAGCCAAGATCGCACAACTGCAATCCAGCCTAGGCAACAGAACGAAACCCTATCTCAAGACAAACAAACAAAAAGTTGTTATAACTATGCCCAGGAAGTTAAAGGAAAACATGAACATAGAGAAGCTATGAGAAAGAGTCAAATGGAACATGTAGACATGAAAACACACACATCAGAAATAAAGCTGACATAATTCCACTCCCACCTTTCACTAACACAACACACTCTTCCTCAAAAATCCCTGTAAGATCAATGGTTTGCTCTGCTTGACAAGACTCCTCCCTTACTTAGGTAAGAAATCAATTCAAATTTGGGGTTTTATACTGATTTTGAGTGGTGGTTTCATATTTTGACAATTGTGAGGTTCCACCAAGGTTATTTTGATGACTCTAACTTAAAAATAAATAAAGGTGTGCTTACCAGGTCCCTTTGGGTCCAGATTTCATTTATCCTTTGGATTTGTTCGAAGTATTTTTGTCTCAATATTGATCTGTACTCTGACTCTCAGTGAGCATGTATTGTTGAGTTTATTTTGTTAAATGAGGATTCCTATCAAAATAGTTCTTTGTAGATGGCATTGTCAATATTTTGGCCATTAATTTCATTATTCTTCAAGTGTGTGCTTGTTTTGCTTTAGTGCATCTATTAGTACAAGGTCTTGGCTCAGGACTTTTTTTTTTTCTGTTGCTTTGTCTTTCATAGTCATTTTATTTCTTGGATATATAAGGTGGTTCTACATAGGGAATAAACAAAGGAATAAGTCCATTCAGTTTCCAATTCAATCCATGTTGAGTCCAAGGACTATGAATTAGAGGTCCAGTAGACAGTGAAAAATTCATGATCAAACTTTGTCTTTTGTCCCCTAAACACCTTCATAGGGATACTTCCTCTTTTATCAATTAATGAAAGGCCATTTTGTTTAGTTCACATGCCAGGGTAAAAAATTGTCATGCCATTCATTGTATAGTCCCTTCTTAGCCCCAGTTGGTCAGGTAACCCAAGATGCTATTCTTTAGCATATATTTTTGTTTGACTAGAATGGCTTCTTTCTTGTTCGTCATGAATTTTTCTAAATCAAAGTCATAACTTCTTACTGGCAGAACTACTTTTTATATGAATTCTCACTAAAATACTAACTCACGTGCTCACCCTAGTACAGCAAAAATATTTTTAACTCAAAGTAGCAGTGACTACTTTGGGGGACATTCTGATAGTCAAAATTAATACATTTAAGTAGAGCTCTAGAAAAATGAGGAAAACTAGTAATATTCACAATTCATTAGTCAACTTCTTTGGTGTGTCGAGACCTCAAAACAAACAATTGATGAGAAGATGGTCTCTTTCAAAGACTCTCTAATTTCCTATCATTCAAGCCTCCTGAAACTATGCTCCGTATATAGATGATATAAAATTCTCATTACTCAGTCATATTCTTTCAATTCCATCTACTCCTGGCCTCCTAAATATGATACCCTTTCCTTAGGAGTTTTCTCAGAAAAGGCCATTGTATAGTATCTCCTAAGACTTTCTAGAAGAGAAAGCAGGATCAATAGAAGCTGAATTTAAACCTTGGTCTAGAGCATCAGTAAGACTAACACAAATTTGCTGCAGAATTTGGCATTTTGTTAGATACACATAATTTTGGACTATTTAATTTATATAGCTTGCTTAATTGCTAGTCTCTCAAAAGGGAAAAACGGTTAAAAGCAGCAGGATGGGAAATACCAGGAGGAGATTTTCATCACTTAGCTGTGTATAAGTGAAGAAAGTGGCTTTGAGAGGGAAAACAGATGTATATATAGTACACTATATAGGGACATGCAGTTTTTCCTTTATGGATATGAACAGATTCAACATTGTAAGCAAAGTGAACATGAATTAATACAGGGCTTTAAAGATGGATTTCAGGAAAGTTTCAGTTTGAGTAGACAGTCAGAATAGCCCCAGTATGTGAAATGAAGGGAACCTTATCTGTCATTATAATGGGCTCAGACTCAAAACAGGGTTCTTAAACAGCAATTATACAATGGAATGGAAAATTGCCAGTTTAGGAGAGTTCCAACATGTAACTGAACATTTTCAATGAGCTTTAAAAAGGAAACTAGCTGAAAATTAAACCAAGCTTATCACCCTTCAGATAAAGTAACTGGCTCCAAGTTAAAAATAATACCGAAAGTCCTCTGTTCTTTAAGAATAAAGAGCCTATGGCTAGGAACACCTGTAGATGTTGTAAGCAGAAAAGCCAGTGAAGGAAACAATGAGCGACATTTTGAACAAAATATGAACGGAACAAAAAGACAGTTATCCTAGATCTGTCCAATTATACTGCTCTAAGAGAAAACTCAGCACCCAGCAATTTTCTGTCATTCCTCTAAAGTCCCAAGGGGAATTGCCTATTAATACAGATGGACAACAATGCAGCTTTTATGTTACTAAACGTGCCACGTATCTATCATTAATTCTACCTCTGTAGAATATCAGATTGCTTAGAAAAACATTTTAAAGTTGAAGAGCCAGAGGAAAGATGAATTGACTTGTAATACAAGTTCAGAAGAGGGGAAAGGGAGAGTTTTGTCTTGAAGTGAAAATGTTTGGTTGTGAAATGTGAAAGAAAACAGTAACAAGCAAACTTGAGGGTGTATATAAATTTTAGAAGCCTTGATGAAAAGTGGACTTTACTTGCCTTGTTTTACTAAAGCAATTCAGAAGTGAGAATTTCTATCAATCCTAAATCTTTTCACCAGACCCAATATTTAAATGTTACTTTGGGACTACTATGAGAACATTCCTTTCTTCTTTGTGACATAAGTCCTATCTTACATGGAATTTCCAGATAAAATTAAAGCAGAAGGGTTATTTTTAAGGCTCCCTAAAATTTCCCTCATATACACACTTACTAACTGGTCTATGAATTGGAAAACTTTCACTATGTATAATTCAAGAAATAACTGCAGAATTCTCTATGGTCCACAGATGTGGTCAGAATATTTGCAATAAAGGCCATAAGAAGCCATTGACTCTTTCAAGGTTATCATAAAAGTTCAGTTATATAGGTGTGTGAAAAGATAAAGCTCTTCTCCTCTAGGGGCCATAACTCAACAGCATGAAACATGTCAAAGAGCCATTGCGTGTTCTCCTTGTTTCAAAGATATTGTGGTCTCAGCTAATTTTGTTAAAACCTTTTCAGATCATCTTTCCCAATCTGTGAATTGCCTTTTAATTATCCTACTGATGTCTTTCAAAAAGTTTTAATTTTAATAAATTCCAAGTTATAAATTTTTTTTCTTTCATGGTTCATGCGTTCTACATCCTAAGAAAATCTTTGCTAATCCCAAGATAGCAAATGTCTCCTATGTTTTTTTTCTAGAATTTCTAGGTTTAGCTTTTGTTTAGGTCTATCATCCATTTTAAATCTAAATTTTGCACTAAAATTATGTATGTGATGTAAAAGTTGAGGTTCATTTCTCATATGAATATATACTTATTCCATTTGTTGGAAAGATGCTTTTCCTCTTTGAATTGCTTTGGTGCCTTTTTGTTTTGTTTTCTTTTTAGACAGGGTCTCACTCTTCTGCCCAGACTGGAGTGCAATCACAGTTCACTGCAGCCTCAACCTCCCCAGGCTCAGGTGATCCTCCCATCTCAGTCTCCCAAGTACGTGTGACTACAGGCACACACCACCACACACAGCTAATTGTGCCTTTGTCAAAAATCAATTGTCCATATACGTATGGGTCCATTTTTGAACTCTATTCTGTCCACTGGTCCTTAACATTGCTTATAAAACATGTCACTGGCAATAAATTCTCTCATCTTTTCTCTGAGTCTTTTCACTTTTTGAAGATTTTTGCTGAATATCGAATTCTAGGTAAACATGTTATTTTTTCAGCATTTTTAAGATGGCATGCCAAGGTCTCTAACTTGCTGTTTAAGAAAAATAGGTAGTTATTCTTATCTTGGCTTCTCTGCATGAATATACTTTTTTTTCTCCAGTTGCTTTTACAACCTTCTCTGGTTTTCAACAATTTCATTATGATGTACCTTGATCAGATTTTTTCTGTTACCTTGTTTGTTGAATTTCTAGTGATCTGTGGGCTTATAGTTTTCATCAACTAGGACACTTTTCAGCCATTATTTCTTAACATACTATCTTTGTTTCCACTACTCCAACTTCTAGGACACAAAATACAAGTATATTAGATTAGTTGATATTATCCCATAGGTGGCTAAGACACTGTCCTATTTTTTTTCTCTTTGTATTTTAGCATGCTTTTAAATTCACTAATTTTCAGTTCTGTAGAGACTGATCTGCTATAATTTCATCTATTCCTTCTTACCTAGCTAATGACCAAAGAAGTCAAATAGCAGCAGTGATTTAAAAATAAATCTTACACATACTTAAAATAAAGGTATAAGGCCAGGCATGGTGGCTCATGCCTGTAATCCCAGCATTTTGGGAGGCCGAGACGGGCAGATTGTCTGAGGTCAGGAGTTCTAGACCAGCCTGGCTAACATGATGAAACCCTGTCTCTATTAAAAATACAAAAAAATTAGCTGGGCATGGTGGTGCATACCTGTTGTCCCAGCTACTCGGGAGGCTGAGGCAGGAGAATCGCTTCAACCCGGGAAGTGGAGGTTGTAGTGAACTGAGATCACACCACTGTACTGCAGCCTGGGCAACAGAGGGAGACTCCATCCAAAAAAAAAAAAAAAAAGAATAAATGTATTGGCCACAAATAAAATATGTAAGGACTATTAATTTAGAACTGTATAAGTAGGCTGGGTGCAGTGGCTCATGCCTATAATCCTAGTTCATTGGGAGGCCGAGGGCAGAACCACTTGAGGCCAGAAGTTCAGGACCAGCTGGGCAACACAGCAAAATCTCTATAAAAATTTTTTAAAATTCGCCAGCCATGCTGGTGGATGCCTGCAGTCCCAGCTACTCTGAAGGCTGAGGCAGGGGGATTGCTCAAGCCCAGGAGCTCGAGGTTACCGTGAACTATTATCATGCCACTGGACTGCATCCAGGGAGACACAGCAAGACCCTGTTTCTCAAACAATTTAAAAAATAAAGAAATGTGTAAGTAGTTTTTTCAATACCTTCTTTATTATGTCTATAAAATTATATGGAGCACTGGAAATATTATTGAATATGACACCAATGACGTGCTGTTGTATTTTTTTTAATTTTGACTTCTTTTAAAGAAGGTGATAACAATCTGTGGAAAATGCTTTTACTGTATCATGCCAATATACTGCAAGTATTTCAAAATAATATAAAAGTAATTCACAGACTTAGATTAAATGAAGATCAAATGATCCAAAAATTTTTCTTCCTTAGTTTTTCACAGCAACTGCTAAAGTCCATAAGCTGATTTTTCCAAGAAAATTATTCTAATAATTTTGAGTGTTCAATCCGTGCAATGGTCCAGTCAGGCTTTACTCCTTGTGTGAACTCCCTCTGAAACCTAGGAAAGATATTGCAAATAATGTAAATCTTACATCAGTCCAAGTATGTCTTAGATAACTATGTAATTTGCAAGTGTACATTTAGAAGAATTTTTGGCAACAAGCTAATGGTTAATATTAAATCAAAATCAAAACAAATAAAAAGTTTAACCTACCCATTCAATCACAATAAATATACCCACAAAATTGAAGTACATTCTCAAGTAGTGTGAGTATTTTTAAGGGACTAATCTATATTCAACACCTGCCAGCCCCTAAGAGAAACTTGGATATTATTCTGTTTAAATACTAGCTATAACACATGCCGAATATGAGGAGAAATAAACTGGACTCTGGTGATGCAAACAGCACTTTAAATACATAACCTAGGATACAGGAAAAAAGCTGTTTTTCAAATAGCACTGTTACCAATTTAGGAATAAATAGTGGAATTTAGTTTACATACATTAAATCAATCTTGAAAATAACAAGGTTTATGAGGTACCCACAGTCTTAGTAAGAAACATCAGAAAAGATAAAGTTTAGTATTGATGACAGTGCTCTTTAAAAATGATTTCTTAGCAGACAATTCAGTAGATTTAAATTAAGTATTTAAATATATAGAATATTTTGGGTAATTACAAATAAAGCAAAATTTAAAAACCACACTTCTTCCAAGAAAAGCAAAAAAAAAAAAAGAGGATATGATTCTCTTTTACCTTAGTAAAACAGAATACATTTTATTTCTTAGGTCATTTTGGGGGTTTGTTACTTTGTTATTTTAAAGCAGATTTGTGTAACTCTGGCAACATAATCATTTTTTAAAAAATAAATGTCAAATTATATCTTCACTGACATGCTCCAGCAGTTTACTGTTGTAGACTTTATTCACATAAAAATACAATATAATGTCTCTTTTACATAACCTGCTAACTTCCTACTATACAGTATGTCCTTAAGGGCAGTATCCCTTCAACTTTGTATCTGCACCTCTACCAGAGCATGTGGGCACACAGATGATCAACAGATGTCTAGTGAATAAATCGTTCATGTACCAATTATGGCAGATTTTATTTTCCAAAAATGGCCACAACCATATCTCCCCTCCTATGTGCTCTTCTGCTATGTGACCTTGCTGTTTTTTGCCCCAAAAAGTGGGGGACTCTTTCTATACCCTTTGAACTATACAGATCCTTTGACTGCTTTGACAAGGAGACTATGGCAGAACTGATGTTCTAATTCTGGGCACAGACCTTTACTGGTTTAGCAGCTTCCATTTTCTGCCTCCTGGAATTCAACCACTCTGTGAAAGATATGACTAGTCTGAAACTACCACAAGTCCAAGCCACAAAGAGAGGCCCTGGAGAATGCAGAGTCATGGAGAAGCCAAGGAGTACCAAGGTGCCACACATGTGAGTTAAGAAGTCACTGTGGAAATGAATCCTCCAGCTCCTGCCACCCGTGTTGATGCCAGGTGAAGCAGATAAAACCCCCTAACTGAGCCTATCCAAAATTTCTGAGCGTGAAATAGCAGGCAAAATCAATGGCTGTTTGAAGCCAATGAATTTGGGAGGAGTTTGTTAAGCAGCAATAGATAGTTAAAACATCATTTAATTAAATTTAGCAACATTACCTCTTTCTAATTTCTTAACTCTCCTGTTTCATATCCAGTGTGTCTTTCTGACCTTTTCTCTTCATAAATAACTTGTCAAATTTCAATTATTTTCTTCCTAAAGATCTCTTAATTTTCATACCTTCAAACTACCTTCCATCTTCTGGAGAAAGGAAGCAATGAAATCTGATTAAACTTACTCATAGCTTGCACTAAGAAGTTGTTTAGTTTCCACATTCTGATTCCCCAACTTAACCTGGAATACACTGGCTCCTCTTAAAGTTTCACTGGGGATGTTGGCACTGGTTAGATACCAAAAGCACATCAGGATGTTAACAAACTTCCTTCCTTAGAGAAAAAACATATACACACACATACAAATACAAATCAAAATAATCTATCATCCATATATACAAAATGAAATCAGAAATTGGCAGTAGTCATACAGTTGTTACAGGTCAAATTCTGTGCTTATTCTGATGTGACTTAAAATACTTGTATTGATACTGTTTTATTTTTAGTAAATTGTCTTAGGGTTTATGGCATACTTGCTCTCTTCTCTGTATCTCAGTAAAAAGCTACTACTTAACTGAGCACATACTTTACTAAGTATACTATATGGATTATTTTCAATTAGTGGCATTTTCTTTTTCTTTCTCTTTTTTTGACACAGTGTCTCACTCTGTCACCAGGGCTGGGGTGCAGTGGCACAGTATCGGCTCACTGCAACCTTCGCTCCCCAAGCTTAAGCAATCCTCCCACCTCAGCCTCCTGAGTAGCTGTGACCATAGGCACGCACCACCATGCCCGGCTATTTTTTCATATTTTCAGTAGAGCCTGGGTCTTGCCATGTTGCCCAGGCTGGTCTTGAACTTTTGAGCTCAAGTGATCTGCCTGCCTCAGCCTCCCAAAGTGCTGGGATTACAAGTGTGAGCCACTGCATCTGGCCAGGCATTTTCTAAGATTATAATAATCTCATGACAGATATGTGTTGTCAAACCAAAAACGAGGAGAAAAATAGTATTTTTTGCTGCTCAGTAACTATCTTAACTTCAACTGCCAGAAAGAGTAAAGGCTTTCTATTCTACCCTAATTCACCTTGCTGTGCCTGGTGATTCTGACAACCTCCTGATGCAAAAGTTAGTTAGTAACCATGGTGCTGAGATGCAATTTGAAATATTAGGGAAGAAGAAAATATTTATCACTAAAAATATCTTTACAAATGTTTCAAAATAATGTGTGCATGAAAAATTTTATCATCATTAAGAGTCTCTTTCTTCTACCTTAGGAAGTGTTTAAGCAGAGTCTACATTTCCTGTGTGGCTGGCACATAATACATATGCAAATAGAGTCATTCCTTGAAATCCATGGAGGATTAGTTCTAGGACCCTCCTGTGGATACCAAAATCCACAGATGCTCAAGTCCTTTATATAAAATGGTGTAGTATTTGCATAACACACATCCTCCAGTATACTTTAAATCATCTCTAGATTATTTATAATACCTAACACAATGTAAATGCTAATGTAAATAGTTGTTATACTGTATTATTGAGAGAATAATGACAAGAAAAAACTGTACATGTTCAAGTATAGATGCAACTATTTTTTTAATATTTTCTATCCGAGATTGGTTAAATCTATGGATGTGAAACCCCCAGATACAGAGGGCTAACTTTGTATGTATCAGGAACAAACAGTGAATTATCAGGAATGCTATAGGGAAAATGTATGCCTCAGACAAGAAGAACCAGATAACCACTAAACTTCCTCCCAACTTTTTTCATTATTCTCAACTAAATCCAATTTGGGAGTTCTGCAGTTAATCTTTTCAAATCATCTTTAGTTGACAATATCTAATTTGATTTTCTTTTACCCCTCATTCCTTCCGTATAAGGTGCAGTTTTAAAATACTCAATTGTTTCCTTCAAGTTACTATTGTATTGAATAAAAATAAAATAAATAAATAAATAGTAGCAGAAAAAAGTTCTAGATAGAAAGGCTTAAGAAATGATGACCATGTCTCAACTCTTTCAGAAGTAGGTCTTTAAAGAATGGATATAACATTTTCTTGGAAGTTCTATTAATTTCTACTTGTCCTGACAAAACTCTATTTTGTGATTATCCACTACTTTAGCTTATCTGGACAATTATGGATCATTTCAAGTTGACTATGCTCTGGCATTACCTTTCTCATCATAGTAAATAGAGATGTCTCCTGTTGATGTAAATACAATTTCATCTATGTTAGCAGCAAGGGCATTTTTATGGTTGTCAGGTAGTGAAGTAACCTTTTCTTTCAATACATGTAGCACCTAAGTTTGAAAAAAGCAAGCCATTAGTTCACCAATACCATTTTTGAAACCTTTCAAAAAGTGATCTTTATCATGGAATACATTTTTCCAAACCTATTTTTAAATTTA